ATTTAATTTAAATTAATTGAAACTTTTTATAATTTCAATACACAACTTCTTCAACACAACACTTCTTCAACAAAACAATTTCTTCCACAACTCAACGCTGGAACCCGCGGGATCCCAGAACATAAATCATTCTCATACTCGGAAAATGCGTTGTCTGTATTTACATACGTTTTATTTTTAAGGAATAGTGTTGAAGCATTTTCAATCCTTAAAAACTCTGCAGGGAAACCCTACATATCGCTAGCCAAGAATTTTTCTGAAAATATTTATTTTGTTGTAAAAGCAAGGACAGTTAAAAATGCAGTCCAATATACATATGTATTCATAGGAGAGGAGACAAGTCCCAAACAGCACGGGCCTGCGAAATTTAACTTTTTCACCCTTCTAATATATATGATATTTTCTTAAATACATATATAGGTATCATGCATTAAAATCAGGGACCTACAACACGTTCCGGCTCTGTTTAGTTCTGCATGAGAACAAAATGTAATGTCAAGAACGTTCCCACAAAATAACTCAACGGGAACAAAAGTATTGAGAGCAGTTTGAACGAGAGCAAAATGAGAACTGAAGGTTCGCGAGCGTTTCCTTAAAAAAACATAATGCGAACAACATTCTCGGGAACGTTCTCAAGAGGAGCAGAGTGAGAACGATAGTATCGAGAGCGTTTTCATGGAGGATCAAATAAGAACAAAGGTCTGGGGAACGGTCTGCTAGAGAACAAAAGTTTTCAGAACTTAACTTTAAAAATGAGAGGGGCATCTGCGTGTTGGGATTAAAAAACACTTCGGCGAGAACCATGATTTTTAATTCCCAGCTAGAGGAAAGCTTGATCATTTCAAATTTGAGATCGTTTATCATTAGGAGGCACTGTCCGTTTATAGAAAATTTTTTTTTTATTTCAGTGCAAGAAAAGTTCGTGTCTTAAGCCTTTCGTTGACTTTATTTGTATAATTATCTTTCAGTTCTTTTTTCGATTAATTTTAATATTCAAACATTTGAAACAAATGCAATGCTATGAGAAAAATTGTGTTATCGCTTCCATTCTTCGCGAATAGTTCATAGAAGATTTGTTCACATTCGTTCTCTGCCAGAAAGTTCGTGGGACCCAAATGGTTCTTCGAGAGAAAGTTCCTTAGAATTTTGTTCCCATTTTGTTCTTAGCCAGAAAGTTCCGGATACTATTATTCCCATTTTGTTCTCTTTGAAATGTTTCCGGAAGGATTGTTCGCATTTTGTTCTCTTTGGGAATGTTCTACAGTATTTAGTTTTTATATAATTCCGATTGAGAACGTTATCGACAGTATTGTTCTCCATTTCGTTCTCGTGAAAACATTCCCAAAGATTCTATTCATTTCGGTTCATTTCGATCATACCTTTGGTTTTCGGTCCCTGATTAAAATACAGCTTAGTGTTTTCTTGCATCGAGATTTATTTTTATTGATGGCATCATGCATATTTTCGAATTTTTAACAAGCTTCATGAGAAGGTAAAAATTAATTTATTAATAATAAAAGGTTTACTTAAAAGACAAACAATATTAGTTAAAAAACCGCTAAACAGACTAAGTAAATCAGAAAGACTTGAAGAAGAGACAGACGCCAACGTTGATCCGGATTAACGTGGGTTAACGGGCCGCGAGGTCATGAGTTCGAATCCCACGGCCAGTAGAATATTCATTTATTTTTTTTTATTCATTCATTTTTAACTTGTGTATTTATTTAATTTTGTTTTTAGTTAGTTGTTGTTAACTTTTTCAATAAAACTAAACTATAAAAATTTAGATTGCCTAGTAATAAAATAATACTGTGAAATAAAATAAGAAAAAAAAATTAAATATAATAAAGTTAAATAAAATATATAAAACAAATAAAAAAGTAACAAAGTAAAAAATTTTAGCAATCGACCGAACCGCTAAGTGCTATTATACTTATCGATTTTGAGTCTATTAGCATCAGTAGTTACTGATTTATCGTAGTTTCGTGTTTCTGTAAATTACCATCATATGGGAGGTGGGCGTGGTTATTGGCCAATTTGATGAACCTTTGGACTTCGTCCGCCAGTTCGTAGAGATGCCTCCTCCTATATATATATTTAATTTTTAAATATTTTTATTTTTGGTCGTTCGTCAGGGGTTTTCAAAGTTTGTTTCCTTAAAATATATTTGTCCACTTTTGACAAAACCACTTCTCTCGAGTGAGGCCATTTTCTCTTCAAAGCTGTAATTCATTGAGCTGTCGAACGATATTTTTATGTTGTCATGTTTACGGCAAGTTTAGTTGAAACGTAGTAGGACATAGATTTGCAAAAAATGGAACCGCTGGTGGCGCTGATGTCAAAATAAAAAGTACGTTCGACATAAAATGCACTTTTCTACCCGTTAAAAATTTTTTCAAGAGCAATATTAACAAAACTTTTCCAATGGAAATTTTAGTAACGGAACGTCACGACATATAATTCAGCTGATTAAACATAAAGCAGAAAGATTTCTACATTTAAAAACTTGGAAAATTAACCTTAAACATTCCAATATTCCTACAACATCTTTTATACAAATAGTTGTGCCCAATTCGCGGTTTTCGAAGTCAAAATACACTTCTTTTTTTATAACGTCACGCCTGCGCATACGTTTACATATATCTTTAAATCGCTACTACAAACAGTTGTAATTTTTTTTTACTGACTAAAGGGCCATTTAATTGCTATGCAAATCTTGAGAAACCTTTTAAAAATTTTGACTCTTTAAATTTTTTTTGTAACATTTTCTCATACGAGTGTCACATAACGCCAGTTTGGAATTACCCATATGTATTACTTAAACGGAAAAAAATAATCCACAAACATATTAAGCCGCTAGGTGATGCATGGTTCGACTTTTCTTATAACCACTATTAAAATACTGTCTTAAAAAAATTTGGTTATAAATAATTTGTTATTCAATTTTCGAAGATTAAAAATATGCTTTTTTGTAGTTCATAGAGGAATTTCACTTCTATCAATTGGGGCACAAATCGCAGTAAAAATGCACTTTAGCGGAACCTGCCCAAATCTATCCAAAAGCCAAGAGGGGTATCAATCGAAGTGTTTTAACGCCAATAATAAGCCTGTTCCAGGTACTTCTCGATTTGCAGGAATTTACAGGATTTTACAGGAAGCTTTTCCCGTACGACACCTGCGTCCTACTCCTTTCTGCGTTGGCGGCCTTCGGCGGTAGGGCAGGTTCCGCTTAAGTGCACCACTACCCGAATCGCGCAAAAAAAGTGCTTGCATTGCCACGTGTGAATGCACTTTAGAAAAATCAATAGATACATTTTTCGAAAGCAAGTAACGAGTACCGGGTACCGATGGTGTGCGCATCACTGAATTGTACATATGTGAATATACATAAAACAAAAAGAAGAAAGGAGAATGATGCAGAAAAAACAGTACAAAATAAACAACACAAAAGAGAAACAACCCAAAGTGTGATAATAAAGTGAAATGTGATAAAGAAAATGATTACAAAGCAAATAAAATCATAGTGCTACCATAGCAAATCGTCGCCTGGTTAAAGATTGTCGTATGTTACGCATGTACGTACGACGCTTACGACAATCTTTTACCCAGGCGACGAAATGGTTTTAATGATAAATCAAAGAACTTATACGTAAAATAAGCAAAATGATTGATTTCGCCAACTATAAATTATTCTTATCGTAACCGCAAATTTAAAATTTGAATAAAAAAAAAATCATTTGCTAGTTTTGAGCAAAATTGCGTATTAGTTTGTTGCGCTCAGGACTGGGCACGCATATGCGTTCAGCAAAAGTGCGTAGTAAAAATGTTGAAGGGGTTGGAGGTATATGTTTGCTCTTAATAATAGCAAAATTTCAACTGCGCAGTGTTGTTATTAAGGCAAACATAACGACCTAGCGTTACTGCCAAGCCCAATTTCCTTAACAACACAAAATATACCAATAATTTTTAGGAATGAGACGGCTTTACAAAGTTAGCAACTTAAAATTTTGAGGTTAACTAGTAATGTTTTAGATACCTCTGAACCATGACACTGGACATACTTTACTATGCAGAAGTAATAGTTTTAAATTTAACATGGATTTCAGCACAAATGACACAACGTCAATCGATAAGCGACCTTCCTAGCTTGGCCACTTAAAACTATGACGTAGTAATGAGGCATATTCACCCAATGCAATTATGGGATACAGAAAGTGGATGGGGAAATAAATCGAATCTATGTATTTTGTAATACTCACTTGAACAATTGATGATTTTTGCTGTAACGCTAATAATTACCTTCTCTTTGGCACAATTTTATCGTAGAATCGCTTGTGAAATTACCACCAATTTAGCCACACATCAGTTCAAATAGTTTTTTTTTATACTTTATAGCACTCACCCGACTCCTTTCAGGTGGGCTATAACCTTGTTTTAGGAATCCAAATATTTATTTGTGTTTTTAACTTCAAAAAATCACTTTTAAAGTTCCAAAATTTTCCTTAATTGGCTCACTTCTGCACAATTCGCACCTTTGCTCAACCAACAATTTCTATACACCACCAGCTGACAATTCTGCCAATACTGATTTTTACCATTTTCTTTTCGTTCTAAACTTTCTTTTGCTACAGAGTTGCATTTGATAGTATGACAAATAATTGGAAGTAGTCAAAGGTAGTAGTTTATAAAATTGCTATTTCATTTGGAAAATAGTTGTTTATGGTGAAAATGTAATAAGGTAAAGAAACTAAATTGTTAAGTGTTTCTAACTTTACGACTTTTGTAAAGGAATGCGTGTTGAGCTGTAAAATTTAGGCGACAATAAACCTAAAAAAATGTATATTTCTTTCTTACTTTATGGGTATTCCAAGTGTTATGGTAACTCTTTTTGCATGTTACTTTCTTGACTGGAAAGAAGAAGAAGAATGAAAGAAATGGCAAAATTGTTATATGTCGTGGATTTGTATTCATTGTGGAAGAACACACATTTGTACACAATGTTTGTATTCAATTTATAATAAACTGAAATAATTGTGAAAAAAAATCGAATTCAAAGCGGAAAAAGATACAACATTTGGTAAGTTATATACTAAACTAGAAGATTTACATGTTCCAGATGTTCTTACATTTGTGGAGAAAGTGACAGGATTTGGCGACGCGACGGCTGCGATAGCAACGCCACATTTGCATATTATGCAGAAAACCACCAAAATTAAATAAACAAATTAATTGTTGACCTGTATTTAATGCAAAATGCTTTAGCGGCATAGGTATATGTCAAATTTGCACACGTTTTTGTACCAAGGCGAATTTTTACAAGGTGGTCTGGTTAACCAATTGGTACGTAAACGATGGGCGTTTTGATATTTTGCAAGTTTGGCTCCAGTACTAGTGCCGCAATGAATAATTAAATTTTTTCAATTCGTAATGCAATGATTTGAATTTTAATTGATTCAGCTAATAACCTATATCATCGAGTTTTCATCGGTTTTTGTTTTATTAGTTCATAGAAGATGCACCGGTTAGTTCTTTCACTTTCTCTGATATACACCATAAGCATCAACATCATTCCAACACGAAACGTATGTATTAGCCAACCAACTGTGGTCATTCTTCCCACTCAGCGCCAGAGGAAGCTCCCAATGTACATATATATCTGACGAATGAGTAATGACTTGTCAGCGCAGAAATCAGGCGATTCATAGAAAATTCACTTGGTGTGCAAATAATCGATGCGGTTTTATAAGTCTTAATGTTGGGGGTTTCAGGGTATCGGAGGAGGTGGTGAGTGCATCGTTTATGGAATGTTAAGCGGCTATAGAGAATGAGCAAAACATTAGAAGAGGGTTTAGAAACCGACAAATGCGTGTGTATGTATTTCCGTACTGCTATTCTGCTGCAAGATTGCTAATTTGCATATCTCATACATATGTATGTATGAGAATACTATCTAAATATATGTACACACCTACCCTGCAGTAAAATTTAGAGAGAGTCTGACAAAGCGCTAGTTCCGAACTACATATGTATATCAGAACTATCTCTGAACTAGTGCAAAACGGATGTAGAGCGGGACAGTTGAAACTTGCGGTGTAAATGTGCAAATGCTCACTACTCGTGCGATACGAAGGTAGCTCAGCGAGAAGACCTTCGACTTAAGCATCGTTAGTCGCGAATTCAAATCGCGTTGGTGGAGGCAATTGTATGAACTTAAATTGTTGCATGCAACTTACAATAATTATTATTTTGGTAATTATCTAGGGGGAATTTCAACCCCCAAAATTGGTCAAAATTTTGGAAAGGGGGTACCATGAGACGCGTCTGGGCCCCAATAACAAGAATCCGAAATCGGAAATTAACTTTTTTTACCCGATCAAAAGTATTAACAAAAAATTTTGGGGGTTGAAAGCCCAACTAGATAATTGCCATTATTTTTTTAGTAAAAAATTTATGTAACAAAAATGAAATCTTAAACAGAAAAGAAAAAACGAAAAAAATATCCAAAAATTTAATCTTAAAAACGTTTTCATATAAAAAAAACTGTCCAAAACTGAACCGGTTAAAAACTAGTTGCAAAGTAATGCACTGGGCGACAATTGCCACCACCAATGACATCGCCGTGTAAAACTGGACAGTTGAAAGCATTGCTTGGGCATTGAGCTAGAACTAGTACTGTCGGAAAAATGCCTAGTTCTACGCTAGTTCTGAACTAGTCAGATATTCTGCAGGGTATGTATTTATACCAATTCATACATATGGTCGTATGGAATAGTAGCTTACGTCGGAAGGTTGGCTTTAGTATAATGCACCATTCTTTTTATTCTTTAAAGTTTAAACCACAAGCCCTGCAAACCATTTTTTCATATTATTCTGAATTTTAGAGAAATTTTAAAGAATTCGTAAAGATTTCATCCGTTTTTTCACTGAATTTTCTAAAATTAAATAAACCATGATGATGCACATGAAACAAACTGTGCGGTTTTCAATTATTTTACGAAATTTCGGAAGAAAATCGGTAACGCAATGTGGCTAAGTGAAGAATTTCTTCCAGAATTTTTTAAAATTTTCCTTATTTTTGTGGTGTGGCGCAGAGAAAAATGTTCGCAGATGTGTGACTAAGGCGGGGCTTGATTGTGTGAAATCAATGTCTAAAGCATTGAACACTAAGTTAAGTTCAGTACAGGTTCTAGAGATCGGAGCGTTGGCACCATAACTGCTTCTAGAGAAATCTATTTTAAAGAAATCCCAATGGCGGCGGATTCTAGAAGGAATATTAAATGCAATCTTTTCTAGAAGAGAAGGGCAGTCAATTGAGCCAGTTATGATATTAACGACAAGCGTGCACGCCAATATGGATCTTCTGTTACCAGTGATGTAAGGTTGATTAGTTGGCAGCGAGAATAGTAGGAAGGTAGTGGAAAAGAAAATTTTAATGAACAGAGAACAAATTTTAGAAAGACTTTTTGCACACGTTCTAATCGGTTGGATAGAATTTTAGTGTAAGGCCTCAAAATAATCGTTGCATACTCCAGTCTTGACCTTTTATGGCGCCACATCTTTATTTATATTCTATTTTTTTCTTATCAGTTTGAAATAATTTTCCATTGCCTGTTATTACATAAGTATGTATGTACATAATTCATACACGTACTAAGCGCAGCTCACTTTCATTACCGGCAAAATGAATTACCGTATATTAACATACGCTTTAATACAAAGTATCATACATATTTGAATGAACAACTATTGTTACGTGTTAAAAAATATATATAAATATCTGTATTTGCCATTTCTGTTGCTATTTCACAGCTATTGATTGCTTATTGTGTCTTAATGCACTTAATGTAGTTTGTGATTAATTTTGTAGAAATTAAACCTTTTATCTTTCAATAACATTCTTAATAATTATTAAATATAAGTACATATTTATATATGTACATTCAACTTGTTCAAAAATGACTCATTCCAATACGAAACGTAAACCAGGAATTCAGAGAAATTTCCATTCGATGTGTTAATCGGTGAGCCGCTCGAATCCAATGGATTGAGAAAAGTTGTTTTCTGTACATACATACATACATAAAGTATCGGTCATATCTATAGCACGCCATTTCAAAGTGATATTGTGTGCCACTTATGTTTATTTATTAATTTTTAAGAATTTTCAATTAAAATATAGTTCATTCTCAGACAAACCCGATAATGTGCAAGTTTGAAGTGGCTACGAACTACCGTTTATTTTTTAAAATTTTTTTTGTCGCATTGGCTTCCATATAATGAATAAACTTAATTTATTTGTATATGGAAGAAATCCGCAACACATTTGGCGAAAAAAATTCTAAAAAATTAACGGTAATTCCTAGCCACTTGAAATTTGCACATTATCAGACTAAAATTGAAGGGGCTAAAAAACTGTGTACTCAAAAAAATTCTTACACTTCCGATGAAAAAGTTTGAAGTTTGGATGAAAATTTGTTGCACTTTTTTGTAGTTTTCTACAAATTGTTACACTTGGGTTTATATGTGGTTTGTCTGAGAATGAACTGTATTTGAATTGAAAATTCTTAAAAATAAATAAATAAACATAAGGGGCACACAATATCACTTGGAAATGGCGTGCTATAGATATGACCGATACTGTACATACATACTATATACAGGCTGAATTTTGGAATGTACAACTGCAAAGTATGTATGCAGTTTGACTACAGTATTTGTACAATATCGGACGTTGCATCGTCAGACAACATTGCAAAGTGATGCGTTATGGATTTTGAAGGTTATTTTCATAAAGAAATTCGGCAGTTTTGGTTTAGTTTGATGATAACCTCATTAAAAATGAATACAATTAACGCCAAACTCATAACCATCGTTCAAATATTGGGCCGTATAAATAAAAACTACTTAAACAACCGCTTTAATTAAAATTTCAGACCTCTTAAATTTATTTGAATAAATCGAGAAAAAGGTCTGCAACTATCATTGGAATGTAACTATCATTTCGCTGAAAGATGAATTATAGCCAAAAACGCTTAGTTTTCAGGAAAGCTGTTTTTGTGTTGTAAAATATGAACTATACGCTTTCAATAAAAATTAGGCTGCTGTAACCTTCATAGAAATATTAAAAAAATATTTAAAGTTGTGACTGGTGGGACTGATCCTTGTGACTAGTGTAAAGTGATTATGTATGAAGTGAAAATTTCCATAAACAAAAATTACAGCTTCTTTTTATTTATTTTTTTTTTAACTTTCTTCAACAGATTAATGAAATGTAGTAATTTAAAAAGAGGTTACTACTGAAATAGGGATAATTAGGGCATTTTAAAATTTATGTAATTTTCCTCTTTTACATGGAATGACCCCGATTTTGTAAAATAGGAACACTTATCAATTGAAACTAATGCATCTTTAATTTATCACGCTATCAAGTACAAATCAGGGCATACTTCCAGATTATCTGAGTGATAACCTACGATAAATTAGTTTTAATTATCTATTTATTTTATTTATTTTTTTTATTTATGGCAGTCGTTTAAGATCTATAGCAAATCTTGCCAATTACAATGTTTGCTTCATGATATTTGCTTGCTTTTCTACAAATAATGTTTATTTATATACACTCATATTCATAAAATCAGGACAAATTGTACATTAAAACGTTTTCTTATTTTTCATATTTTCTTTAACAAAATTTCAAATACTCTATACTTTTATACAGGATATTAATTTTATTGCATCCATGAGGGGTGCTATTTATATATGTATATATGTACATTATAAACACGGTTTGGGGAGCTGGCGAGGCCCAGTCTTCAGTCTTCATTTATGTGCAGCAGGCTGAAAAGTCTAGTTTCCGCAACATAAAAGTTGGCAAATTAAAAAAGAAAATGTTTATAAAAATCCCGATTAATCAATACCTTTATTCTCACAATAATCGATTTTAATTTTTTACATACTCCATCATCACAATAATCGATTTCCATTTTACATAATTTGAAAAAGTCAAAACAAAACATTTAATAGAAAACCTTGAAAAGTTGATTATATTCAAAATTATTCATAAATATGAAATACGAAAAACTAAATTTTTGCGATCAATACCAATACTAGGCTGTATTTAACTTTCGAAAAAAATGAACGTTCCACTCATGGTGAAATCATGGTGTAATAATAACAAGGTGTTGTCAGTAACTTAACCTCACTTTTTCGGCAGGTCTATTCCGGTCACGCATTTTAAAGTAGTAGAAAAAGTACTAATTATTTACTACTTTTAATCCGTTCATGCGTACTATTTCAAATTAAATGTAGAAAAATGTTTAATTACAGGCCTATAAGCCTGAATATATGTTTGTATCGTATGCTCCACACAGGTTGCACATATATTGTAACTTATAAAAAAGTACAGGCCGTAAAATAAGGCAATTTCCTATAAAACTGTAAATGATTTTTTAAATAGATTAGTAATAATAATAATAGATTGGCGCTTACATATATGTTAGCGTTTGGCCGAGCTTCTCCTCCGACTTGTGGCGTGCGCCTTGATGTTGTCACACAAAGCGGAGGGACCTACAGTTTTACGCCGACTCCGAACGGCGATTGCATTTTTATGAGAAGCTGTTTTTCATGGCAGTAATACACTCGGAGGTTTGCCATTTCCTGCCGAGGGACGACCGCTGTTAAGAAAAAACCTTTTTTCTATATTTTTTGCGATGTTGCTTTGACCAGGGTTTGAACCCAGGTGCTGCGGAGTGGAGCGCGCACTGCTTGCCACTACGCCACAGCGGCTGACATATAGATTAAAACACATAAATATCGATAATATAAGCGAAGTCGTAATTTAACCATGCTGCCGCTCTATTCTGGTGTATCAGTAGTCCATTTGGCTCGATATTATGACAATGCAGCAAAAGATATTTAATATAAAAAAATCGACTTTCCATACGATTTTTGTGTACGTCTTTTTCCATTGATAACTACGATATCTTTAATATTTTATATTTTGAGGACAAAAATTATACAAATCCAGCAATTTTAATTATTAATATCGTTCTGAAAACACGAAGTTCTTTAAAAATCACGATAAAATGAAATACTAAAATGTTGTCAGTAGCGACGTGTTTGTTGTAATTTTGACAAGATCGGCATGCTTATTTTCAGTGCTGCCGATCTTAATTTTTATAATGCTATTAGTTGGGAAATTGTATTTAAAATACTCCCATTTGGCAGTTTAAAAAAGAAAATGTTTATAAAAATCCCGATTATTCAATACCTTTATTCTCACAATAATCGATTTCCATTCTTTACATACTTCATTATCACAATAATCGATTTCATAAATAACATACATGACATTTTACATAATTTAAAAAGTCAAAACAAAACATTTAATAGAAAACCTTGAAAAGTTCATTAGATTCAAAATTATTTATAAATATGAAATGCGAAAAACTAAATTTGTGAGATCAATACCAATACTAGGCTGTATTTAACTTTCGAAAAAAATGAATGTTCCACTCAGAAACTGAGCATTTCAAAATAACCCGAAAAAGTTAAAAACTTAGTTCAAAAATTGCATGCATATCGATGGTCCCCTGCAACAAAGGGTGCAATTCAAACTTCAAAAAATAAAATACATACTATATTACTGTCTCTAACCCTTGTCTAATCTAGTAAGAGAATTATTTTTTTTTGAATTTTGAATTGTGTCGTTTTTGCAGAAGAGCATCAGCATATTAATTGCTGTTTGCACATTTTCTTGACTTCACTATATTTTCTGCATTCCAGATGTTATATGGCATAAATGGCTTGCGCTTCAAATAATTGAAGAAGCAGACTTCAGCAAGAGGAGAAGCACAAGAACAAAAAAAATAAATTATAATAATAAAAGTAGAAAAGAAGCAAGAGTGACCCCGCCTCTATCAATTTGGAGAGTAAAACATACTGATACATTGAAGCAATTGAGCAATCCGCAGTCACAACGTTTGTGTGCACCCGAAGCCAACAAGTCAGCCGGTCAACTGATCAAATATTGCGCTGAGCGCAAAAGTGCCATCGTAACCCACAAGTGTGCTCTCAGACCATAATATTGTTGGAAATAATTGACGCAAATACAAATTAGCCGTCAGTATACAAGAGTGAGTTGGCGTGGTGTCTACGCTGCGAAAACATACGCGTTGTGGGAGTGCAGGTGTATTTTACATTTATATTTGTGTTAAAATTTTGCCACCTCCACTTTTAAAAAGAGTCTTCATACACACTTTGACTGAAAGAAACGTAACAAAGTACGTACTTAAGTGGAATTGAATGCCGTGGAAAGAAATGTACTGACGCGTGACTTGAAAATTATCAAAAGGAAAAAAGGAAAATATTAAAAAAAAGACAAGAAAAATTCTAACGCAAACCAATTCTGTTATTTCTACAAACTTTTTTACTCGCGCAAGAGCCAGGCGGCTTAAGCACTTGTATTTAACAAATTAATAAAGTGATCGGGAAACTGTGTTCCGGTCACAATAACGCCCACTTTCCCCGCCTGGGACCCAATCAAGTAAAAATGACAACATCAGCATTTAAAAATCGGCGTAACAACGCATCGCCAAGTGACGCGGAAGCTGATGGTCGGATCGTCAACGATGCCAATTCTGCACATCTGGATCATACAATGGAGAAAACAGATTCGGAAGAAGATGCTTGGTCATCAACTGGTTATGATTATATCAATCCATTTGTACATCGACTACAGATTGACAATAGAATCGATTTGGCGAAGGTATGTGCTTTTTAGTATTCGATTAGACATGTTTACTACGACTTCGTGTTAAAAAAAAAAATCATTACATGAATGCATTATTTTTCGCAATTTTATGCGCTTGCAAAAACTAAGTGAATAAATAAGTATTATTATATTTTCTTAAGCCAATTAAAGGGCAAGGAACTTACCTTTATATATCGTCGATGTTTTTACAAAACCGCCCATCGCCCAATTGCAAAACCGCCTATCTTACGGCACTCAAATTTGACAGGAGAGCGAAAAAACGGATTTACTTTGAAGACATTGCCTTGATAGGCGGTATTTTCTCCAGCTATTATTTTACAAATCTGTTGTTTTAATAACGATTTAACGATTTGTATGCATAAATGCCCGGAGTTCAGGGTTACCAAATCTCATTTTTGCTTCAACGGCGATTTAGGCGGTTTTGCAACTGGTCGATGGGCGGTTTTGCAAAAACATCGACGATTTTCTTTACTGATGTGGCACATGGGTATCAGAGTCATTGTTTCGAATCAATTTGGAAGTTGGGGCTTCTTCCCTATGAAGTTGTTCTCACTTGATATGTTTTGTATTCGTACCCTGTTGCTAAGTCCACTTTTTATGAAAACTCATATTTTGATACAGGAGGCAAGAGAAATTCAAAATGCATCCTTTCGAAAAGGATAAAGGTCCTTGTTTTTAACCGATTTCACAAAAAGGAGGAGGTTATCAGTTCGTCGGATTTTTTTTTATGTATGTATGTTACCGCATAACTTTGGACCAGGTTAACCGATTTCGATAATTCTTTTGAAAGGTGGTAGCTCAGGGGTGGTCCCATACTAATTTGGTTTAGGACCGATAATTGGATCGTGAAGAAGTTAACGATAATCTTAAATTTTTATTTGAGAATTGAAGTCGATTTTTTTTTGCTTAAAAATTACTTGTATATTTTCTCGTTTATATTCAATGAAATGAAAATTTGCTGAGTCCAAAAGAAGCTCCGAAAAATTCGATAAGGCCAAAATAGTACGAAATCTTTTAATAAAGATCGAATTTCTCTGATTCGTTGCTTTGCTTTAAATAGGCAAAATGCCGTATTCAAAATTTGTGAAATAGTTGAAAAAATGGTTATAATAGGTTTTTTCCTCTCCTGCAAAATTTTTCAATTGGGGCTTAGTAACTTATCACTCTAAGCTAGCGATATGAACTTCTTTCATATTAAATTATAAAAATATATATAAAGTTCGAAGATTTTTCTTGAAACCAATTATTTAAAATACTTATGAAATGGTCGGATTCTTGTTGGAGAATCGTGTGTTTTTCACAGCCGACATTCAAATAGGAAATGAGAATATTTTCTAACGGTTAATATAAGCGGCAGAATTCATTCTAATACAAACGAAGTATTCTAATTAATTAGCAACAGCTACACTTACAGCTAACTGCTTGTGTCTTTCGTTTGCTGGGCAAGAGCGTCCAGCTCCATGTTGTTGTTGTTGTTGTTATTGTTGTAGCAGCTCCATCAGGGATGTCGGTGTAAACAGGTTTTTCACTACTAAAAAAAAAAAAATGTGTCCTTTGGTCCAACGATCTTGAATGCTTGCTTACCCTTACATTTAAACCATGCGGTTATAAATGATCGAAAAATAAAAACACAAATACAATGATTATTCATGATCGCAAAATAAGAAGTCTTTCCAATAAAGATGTAAAGATTTGTTTAGCATACTTATTGTCGTATGTATACAATTTTGTTGCAACTTATGTATTGTATATATATTTATTTATTTATTTGTTGAATTAAATTTCTATTGGCTGTGTCGGAGTATATAGTATATAGTATAACTGTGACTAAGTGACAGAGCTATGGGTCTAGCCCCTAGGGCATGATCACCCAGGACACCGCCTTGTAAATAGTTAGCGATAAAGAGACATTCGATATTTGATAGCGAGAACGCCGGGGATGTTTTAATAACCACTTAGCCTTCTGAATATTTCAGTATGTACATATGTATGTATGTATTTGCCGCGCCAGACTTCAATAACTCACAAATGGTTCTACTCTCGAGACTTCTCACAAGTCCCCAGACTGTTTCGCAGATTTGCCGCTGCTGCTTATTATCGCACATACATAAATATTTGTTATTTACTCGTACGTGAGTTGTTAGTAACAAGAGTACTCGAAATGATTTAGCGCTAATGTATTTAAATTAGATAAAAAAAAATCATACGATTCAGTTTTGTTGCTTTCGCTTTTATTTATTGCGTTGCCGTAGTTTGTACCACATATGTATCTACATAATTACGTTCTACTGAAAAAAGTTCTCATTTAGGAGCGAAACAGCATCAATGGCATAAAAAAATGTGCAGAAGAAAAGCTGCACTACAATTGTTTGTGTTTATGTACGAATAAGTAAACACTCCTCTCTAGTTAGACCGATTTTGGAGTATGCATCTATAGTATGGAATCCTAGCTATCAAATTCATAGTGACAGGCTCGAATCAGTGCAGAAACAGTTCCTGTTATTTGCCCTCAAAAATTTATGTTGGGACTCGTCTAAAAATCTCCCACCCTACAAGGATCGCCTGAAGCTTATAGATTTGCCGACGCTTCAGAGTCGTAGAGAGATGCTTGGTGTTCTTTTTTTAATTAAATTAATGAACGGGATGGTCAGTAGTCCCTTTTTACTGAGTGAGATAAATTTTTGTATTCCTACAAGACCCACGAGACATTTTAAACCTATTGTGTTGAGTATTTGTAAATCAAACTTTGAAATGCATGATGCTTTTCGGTGCTTATGCCAAGATTTTAACAAGCATTATGATTGCATCGACATATCTGAATCGCTTTTTGTAATAAAGAAAACATTGCTCAACAAGTTAACTAAATAAACTAATATCTGCAACCGTGAACGAAAAAATTACACAATATCTATGACTGCTTAGTACAATTGTAACGGCTTCGTATATTTCCGCGACCGCGTAGGACAATAGGAGCAGGGATCGGAAACTCGGCCTTTCCGACCTCGCCCAACAGTTCGTCTATAGCGTGGAGCGGAAACTAGGACTTTCCGCCTGCCTCACTTACAAAGTAACGACTACGGGAACATGGATCGGAAGCTCGGCCTTTCCGACCATGATCAACGGCCTGTAAACAGGGCGGAGCGGAAACTAGGTCTTTCCGCCCGCCGCACACAAAAGTAGACTGGAGACAAGGCCTCGCCAGCTACCCAAATTGCTATTGAATATCATTGTTATCTTTACAAGTTAATATTTATAATTATTTCACTCTGTAATGTATCACACATACTTAAATATTCTAAATCTTTTTATCTCAACTGTCTGTAAGAAAACATTTTTCTGTAGACTAAATAAATAAATAAATATAGTGAGGCCAAGCGCATGTAAACATATGGCGAATATGGGTTTGTGCAACTGTTTTATGAGATTTTCCATACGCAGGAAATAACTCAATTAAGCGTATCGAGCTTATGCGATGTTCACACGTTACCTTTAATTATGCAGTTAGGAATATTGGGAAATTTAGCTCTTAATTGAGCTTAATGTATCACATTTTAGCTCACTAAATTGTGCAATAATATATATTTCCACATATGTACATAAATTGAGCCAGATTTCCTTAACTTTGTTTTTTTTTTTAGAAAATGTTATTTACGAAAATGAAAAATATATACATACACTCATGATCATAATAATAGGTGCAAATATTGTTTGCCACTTATCTTTATTTATTTATTTTTAAGAATTTTCATTTAAAATATAGTTCGATCTAAATCAAAAACCACACGAATAAAAGTTTTATAGCTTCACAAAAATTAATCAAACTTAAAAATATTTTCATCAAAAGTTAAAATTTTTTATTTTTTATTTATTTTTTGTTGCGCGTATTATCTTCCATATAACGTATGAACAAAGTCTATTTTTATATGGAAGAAAATGACAACAGTCGTTGTTTGAGCTAATCTATTCTTTTGCCAGACTGCCAGGCCACTTGCTCAAATACCACTACAGATAATTGCTAGTGGGAAGTTCGCGAGTAGGTATTCTCTGTGACATCGGTCAAAGAAGACTTAATCTAGCAAAAAGGTGGTATGCTGATGTTGGTTTTAGTATTAATCCCTAGGGGACAGCGATCGTCCCTTTTACCAGGAAAATAATTTTTACGGGAATGAAAAACTTAGCCGTCGCTTGGATTGAGATCAATGCCGTCACAGAAGTTAAGTATCGTGAGTCTTATCCTAGACTCCGAACTCAAGTGGAGGACTCATGTTGGTGCCGCAAACGACAAAGCTACGAGAGCGCTGATGGTGTGCAAACGTCTAGCGGTGCAAATCCTAGAGATGCACCCAAAGGATCCTAAGATGAATGTACGCCATGATAGTACGACCAATGCGGCAATGGCTTGGGTACCGTCCACTACTCTGGCAACGGTAAGGCAGTCCCTCACCAAGAGTCAACGTCTGGCGTGTGTTTGCAGCACGAGGCTTTGAGTACATGTCCGACGGAAGCACTGGAGGTAATTCTTCAACTTTAGGAGAGGAACTGCATCTTACAGTTGAACAGACGGTAAAGCGAACTCTCTTATATATCGCGGGAGGTGGCTTTGACAAAGGTAAGGTCTTATCTTCTAGGAACAAGGACAAACTCGGCTACCACCTCCCACTAGTTCTATTCCCCAGAGACGATATGCATAGAAGAGTAATTTTCGAAAGAAGCTCTAAGGTAAATATATATCGTCGTTTCAAGTACAAAACCGCGTATGTGAGGTTGCATAATTTATTTTGTAGGGAGTAAAAACACTCATATTTCAAAATTGTTCTCTCTTTTATAAAGCAATCGCATTTCTGTCTAGTATATTTCAGGACGAATGGATAAGCCAAGAGCTTCGGTGAGCAAATCCAATTTTTGGCATAAAATGTCAGTTACCCGGTTTTGCAAAAAGACGATATGCGGTTTTTTACTTTAAACGACGATATGTACAGTAACGCGACCTGGAGTACCTCTATTATGGAGAGTCACACCCAGGCAAGCAGACTACAGTGGTACACAGACGGCTCTTTGAACCCCCAGAGTGTATTGAAGCAGACTCCTAGCAGACCCTAGACTCAAGCTTTCAGTGCCCTTGGCACTTGCCCTCCCAAGCATCTTTTCCAAGCGGAAGTTTATTCCATTAGACTGTGCGCAGAGATTAACCTTCATAGGAATTATCGACGTGAGAGGATCTTTATGTTAAGTCTGTTCCAGGTGCTTCACGATTTGCTGGTTTACAGAAAGTCCTTCCCGTTCGCCACCCTCGCCAAGGTTTATTAATGGCAAAACAGTTGTCCCTGTAAATCTTGTAAATCCTGCAAATCGTGAAGAACCTACAGGATGCTTAAGGGCTATTAAGTGATGGTCAGACGGCACTTTTAGCTCTGGTATCCTTCGAGATTAAATGCTCATTGGTTGGGCGCTACTCGTTAAATACGTTACCTTACCCATCCGTGTTAAAAATTAATAAATTGCCGCTGTACTTAATAAAACAATAGTTTTTGGCGGTTTCATGGACTGCCGATAGTATAATTACGCCTCCGTCTTGCTCATCATAGCTAACATATGTACATATTGTGTATCAATCAGAATTTGTTTATTCCTATAATTCGATGCCGATGGTTGATCATCTTCATAATAACTACTTGAAGGCTTTTAATATGTATGTAAATACTTTGATTTAATTTATATTTACTTAAATACTTATATTAATTAATTCTTTGTCAATGTACGTATTTAACTGATCAGCTTTTAAATTAAGACAAATACACTTAATTGATGATTATATATACAAATATGTAGATTCTTAATAACATTCCAAGGCGACAATACATTTATGACTAATCGCTGCTCAAATATTCGACGCAGTTCACTAGGAAAATAAATAATGACTCATGGTTTTTCTTATATTTATTAATTGACCTAAATATCGCTTATATTACGTTTGTTTTGTGACTTAAATCTATAAATTTACTGCATTGATCTTTCAAAAATTTAATGTTGATTTCAACTATTCAATTTCTGTTCGAGTACTTCCTGTGAAGAGTCCACCGCTTAAAAGGAAAGAATCCAGCTCTTCAGCGACTAACGCAGATTATGAACAGAGTACAAATTGCATAATTTTAGGCGCACTGTATGTTGATTTTTCTAAAAGGGCACATGAATCTATGTTTTGTGTCCAAGTGACCCAATTACGCTAAGTTTTTCATGAGTTCGTTTGTAGCTCAAAGAAAATATGTGGACTCAATTTTTGTGTGTATTTACATACAATAATTATGCAAATATTTGCTACATATTTTCTTGGCTGTAGTAAAATATATTTAATTGCACTCAGCGTCAGAGTCAACGTCTGCGTGGCTGCTATGAAGCCCGATTACATTTCAGCCTTCTACTCTGATTACCTTTTAGTGCAATCTTCTGTACATATTTCGCTTCGTATTGGTTTGCTTTCATTTTCATTTTCGTTTTCTATTTTGTTTTCTGCCTTTTACTGTTGATTTCAATGTCGACATTGTTGTGTAGATATGCGCTCTTTATGCGAATTGGTCATGGCCCATGTGGTGGTGTGACTTGTGCCGGCAGATGGCTATAGCTGAAGCACAGGCAAAAGCATGTACAGTCAGCGTCAAAAATTAGCATACCCTGACGTTTTTGAAAGTATTAGTTATTCATATTTTCCATAGAAAATTTTTCTTATTTCTTTTTGTAAAAATATATATCTTGGTTTAAAATACAAAACCGCGTTTCGTGGTTCTGCAAAACCTCGTAACTGACATTTGTGCCAAAAAAGATAGTTGCTCACCGGAAGCTCCTGGCATTAAGCCCTTAGCCATTCATACTAAAACATCGATACTTAGATATAAGAAGAAGAGATAAAAAAGAGAACCGTTTTGAAATTAGAAAAGTTTTACTCTCTCCTATAAAATTTTGGCAACCTAACATACGAAGTTTTGCATTTTCTTGATACGCGGTTTTGTACTTTAAACGGCGATATGCATATATTATTATTATTATTATTTTTTTTTCATTAAGTACTCGGGGTAAAATGCAAGAAATGTTCAATTTTTCGATTCGTTTTCTTAGAAAAATTTTGGATATGCAATTTTGTAACCCATGTAGCCGTTTCAATTCGCTGGTGTTCATATAAAAAAGGTTATATCGCTCATTTACTTCAATAGTGTCACAATCCCAAAATTACAAATTTTGTGTAAAGTAAGTAAAATCCAAAAAGTACGGGAACTCTTTTCGGGTAAAAACTGGTAAAACTGTCAAATACACCGTGGGCGACATTTTTTGTTTACATAGCAGATTTTTTTATCATTTGCCGATCTGCTAAATTAAATACGCAAGCAAATAAACAAAAATACTTACAAAACTTGATGTTTCCTCGCTGCGATATATTTATGAAGGTGAAAATGCAGAAGTATTTTTTTTTTGCTTATTCAACTTTAAAATCATTTGAACAGCTGATGGGTTGACACTTTACCAGATTTTACCAGCAAAAATTCTTGCAACTTCTGGCAATGAGAGGATCGATTTTACTCTCCCATGTTTCCCCTACTTTAGCAGAGATCCGAGTACGGGAGCGCTTTCTGGTAAATTCCTGTAAACTCTTGCAACTTCTTGCGAGTTAGGGAACGCAACTAATATGTATTAATTTTTACTATGGGGGTATATGTAAATCCAAATTTTTTAAAGCCGCTTTTCTCGAGTTGTTTTTTTTTTAGTTGTGACACTATTGAAGTAAATGAGCGATTTGGAAGAAAATGGGCTAACAACTGCGTACTAAAAATTTGTCTTAGAAATCGAGTTTAAAAATTGAAAATTTCTTGGTATTTCTTGCATTTTTCAGAGTTTGGTATGAAAATAAAAAATTTGATTCTAGCTGTATGAAGTATATTATTTTTATACAAAAATAAGAAAAATTTGGTATTGAAAATATAAATAAAATCTTAAAAACGTCAGGGTATCCACATTTTTAACGCTGACTGTATATGCATACATAGTATGTAAATATCTGTGGTATTTTTACATGTGGGTACAATAAAAAATAAATCACTGTTTATTTTTGTATTTATTTACTTCTGCTGCTGTTTGCTGCTTCTGCTGCCACCGCCACTAGTTTTGACCACTACATACATATGTACAGACATATACATATGTAATACTCTTTAATTTTATTTAATTATTTTTTTATCTCGCGATTGTATAATTTATATGTATATGTATATGTATAAACTTGTAGGTATTTTATCTTGCTAAAAAAACAAGAGGGGAAATGCACTGAATTAGGTTTTAATTTTTGAAAATTAAATCGTTTAGAACTATGCAAGGTCAACGCCTTCTAAATAGCCATACTAAGTACGTATGTACACTCAGGTATAAAACTTTTTTTTAGAAAAATATAAAAAAAAAAATTCTTATAAATAAAAAAATAATTGCTTTAAATTTTATTGTTTTTTTTTTTTGGTTAGAGGTGCGCAATTCCACTCGGTAGGGCCACGCTTCGAACCCTGATCCGATTAACAGCAAAGTGTTTTCTGATAGCGATGGCCTTAGGCAGACGATGATAAACCTCCGAGTGCATTTCTGCCACGAAAAGGCTTATAAAAAGAAAATCATATAGACTGTGCTCCGCCGTCTATATTACAACAGCAAAACGAATCGGAGGAAAGGCTCGGCCAAACATTTTGGAAAATGTGTAGTCTTTAACTATTTATACGGTATTTTTTTGAATTAAAAAAGAGTGGCAGCATCTAAAACTGCACAATCGGATTCTGAAAATAACTACGTTAAATTTTCCTTTCCGAAATTCTGGGACTCAGACGTCAAAGCACACAGTGAGAAAGGCATCCTCGAAACAGTCGGCCACCTCCCTTATTAACTTTTCTTCGAACGCATCCTTCAGTGGTTCTTCTTACGTACGCCATTCCGTCGTCCGCCATAAAGAGGTTTTTATCGGGTCGTCAACCGTTTAAACTAAAGTCCTATCGTCTAAAGTTAATGCACCGAAAAAAACCGATTTTCTCTTGAGTTATGTTTTTTCCTCATCTGATGTAGGCTTCCTTCTCTGAGACCCGCATTTTTAATGGTAAACTTTTATGCTTAATAATAAAAAAATTTTACTACGACTTATGTATTTACATACTATATGCCAAATTTGCACAGAACATAAAATAATAAAAAAAATTTGCCATTAAAAGAATGTCATGTGGAAACAAATTAATGATTTGTTTACAAAAATAATAGGTCAGGTACTTTTTAGTTCTCAATTTTGCCATTAAATATATGGAGCTCTCTAACCGTCAAAAAGTTGTAAGCGAGATTTCTATTTTTATTTATGCAGAAATGAATATATATGCTCTAAGAACATATTTGTATCAAAAAGAAAATTTTGAAAAAATGTCGCTTCCATCTTTTCGGCGGTTAGGGTTCGATATTTTCATTTAACGTCCAGTAGAAACCCGGCATTATTGCATTAATTTCTTGGAAACATCTGCAAATTTAAAACTTTAGGTAGAGTAGAACCTATCTAAATTTAGAATAGTATGTATATTCAGTGGTGGCTACATAAATGGGGACACTACTTTACATGTTTTGGTAATTTACTTTAGATTTTTTGCTTACAAAAATATACAGCGTGGCGACGAATACCCGTTACACAGTTTTTTTTTAGTTACTGCTAGCTGCTGGGGATATCGGCTGGGAACATTTTTAAATTTCATTGGCACTTTTAAATTTTTGCAGAAATTTTTGTGTTTTTTTGCAGGTTTATGTGCTAACAGTGCTTTTGTTACCAATTCGCGTTGTCGGCTGTGTTCTCTCTCTACTATCTGCGTGGATGTTTGCCTGTATTGGCCTCTATGGCCTAACATTGGATGAACTAATGTCAAAACCAATAACCGGTTGGCGAAAGTAAGTCGATCAAAAATAAAAAAATTTTCATTATGTATGTATGTATATTTTTGACTTTCATAATATTTTCATTAAATTCCCTTTCCATTGCATAGACAATGTCAACGCGTAACCTCTGGTGCTATGCGCACACTCTTTGCTGCTGGCACTTTTATGCATATCAAATTGACTGGCGAGCGTGCATCACCCAAACAAGCACCCATTATGGTCGTGGCACCGCACTCCTCTTATGTGGATTCGATTATTGTTGTAGCAACTGGACCACCGTCAATTGTGGCTAAGCGCGAAACAGCCGATATACCACTGCTAGGCAGTAAGTTTTTCATTTGTTTACATTTTCATCACCAAACTAAGTAATATATTTTTAATTGATTTTTTATCTTTAATTTAACTTTAATAGAAATCATCAATTTTGCTCAACCCATTTATGTGCAGCGCGAGGATCCGAATTCGCGTCAAAATACGATACGTCAAATTGTACAACGCGCACGTTCCGAGGATGAATGGCCTCAAGTTGTGATATTTTCCGAGGGTACATGCACTAATCGAAAGGCGTTGATTAAATTTAAGCCTGGAGCTTTTTATCCGGGGGTGCCGGTACAGCCGGTGTTGTTGAAGTACCCCAACAAATATGATTCATTCACATGGACATGGGATGGACCTGGCGTGTAAGTAGCCTAGTTAGGGCTTCAAGTATTAATTTCACATTTAATTATTTTTTGTTTTTGGCATAATTTCGTAAACTGAACTTAGCTATTTGAACAATTTATTTGAGATGATTTCATTTTTATTTAGTCCGTTTTGAAAGTGATTGTTGCAACATCTATAAAACTTCTGTCATTAATAGTCTTGTTGTTAGCTCAGTTAATACAAAAATCCCAAAAACTGACCTAACAAACAAGGCAGAATTTAGTAGTATGTGACTACAAGTATGGCAAGTATGTATTTGCCTTATAATGCTAACAAACACCAACAAACTATTTACAATGCACTCGCGATAACTCGAACTAATGAAAACCAGACATGTTCGAGTTAACGAATTTTTATACGCGAACGCACTTATGCAAAAGGCTACTATAATCTTGTCCAAATAACTGTTGTTTGTAACAGCCTAAGGGAATTGAGATAAACATAGACAAAAGTGTCCAAAAATGCTTAGAATGTGAAGCAAAATCGATTAAGACGTGACTGTCTGTAAGTCTGTCCGTTCGTTTGTCTATAGTAAGAAGTCTGTAAATAAAAATATGCGCATTTAGCAAAAACAAAAGTGTTAGGCCGTTGCCGTTGTTAACAAATAGTTTCTTATATGTTTTCGCATAGGAAGTAAAAGAAAAATTTTGTTCGAGTTTTAAAGTAGTCAATGCAGTATAGAAAAATGTTCAAGTTTCCTAACGTTCGAGCTATCGTGTGTTTGAGTTTTCCCGATTGCAGTGTACCTTCTTTTCTTGTATTGGAAATTCAGTTTTCTGCTTAACAACTCGAGTTTATGTTTGACAACAAAATGGTTAATATCAAAGCCTCTTATTTCCCCTAATTCTCCTTTGCGACATGCGTACGACATGTCCAAGCCAGTGCAATTGTGGTATATTATGTGCTTAACTATTAGATAGGTTTTGTGTAAAATAGATTTCTCGTCAGTTCCTAAGATTTTAACATTTTCCTTTGATAGCGTCCTTGTTTCTGCGCCTTATAACTGACATGATGAGAGATTTGTAGAGAGTCAAGAGAGAGCCTGCTTTTCAGTTGCCTACCACACCAAAGAAGCTCATGTTGGCAAGATTTAAATCCATCTAGCACAACTATTTTTCGCAACGTCATCTACTTGTCTATTTTTTGGTTAAAATAATAAATGGGACAAACCATCAATAATACTTTCGACTCTAGTGTTACCTGGTAAATCAATTTTTCTTCCAAATCGGTGCATATATAAATACGAATAAGACAAATTTCTCGACTCCAGCACCACCTAGCGAGTGCAATTTTCGGAAAAAATTTTGTATTTTTTTTTTAATTAAAGTATGTATATCTCAATATCTAACAAACACTAATGTATGTAAGTCCAAATTTCAAACTTTGTGCAAAAATTATGAAAGAATATAAGTTTCATCATTATTTCAAACTTTAATCAGAACTTTTAGAATAATTTTTGGTAAGCAGTTTTAAATTTGGTAGGCATTAGATTTTTTTATAATAAAGTGCTATTTTGGAGCTGCAAAAAAATCGCGTTGATATTTGATATTTTCGAGAAAAACGGCTTTAAAGTTTTGAATTAACATATACTTCTATGGTAAATTGAATACATATTTTATTCTAGCGAAATACTTGTAATCCATACAGCTTTTTACACAAGATAGAAGAAGAGTTAGCGATCATTTCTGCAAATTTTGCTCAATATTTGTATTTTTTGAGTTGTGATACTAGTAAAGTAAATGAGCGATATGTACATGCATAGATATTAGGTAGTACAATATATAGTTTTTATAATTTGTGTGAAAATGTATTCAATATAAATAAGCAATATCAATCATAGTGTTAATAACATATTTCTATATTTGTTAATAATTAGCCTCAAGCTACTTTGGCTGACGATGGCGCAATTCTATAGTCGTTGCGAAATCGAATTTTTGCCTGTCTACACGCCATCAGAAGAGGAAAAAGCTGATGCAAATTTATATGCACAAAATGTGCGCGATGTTATGGCGAAGTGAGTACCAGATGCAAGATAACATATTTGTCGTTCTAAAATTTAAATTTCCTTCTTTCCTCCTCCTTAGAGCACTCGGTGTGCCAACGTCAGAATATTCATTCGAAGATGTGATTACAATGAGTCGTGCCAAAGATATGCGTGTGCCCTACCCTGGTGATATTATCGAAATTGAACGTGTGCTTTACAGTTTGGGGTAAGCGTGGGCATGGGTGTACTGAACTGAACTGAATTGCTTGCTGTCTTTTGCATTGCTTTATGCTAATAGTTTACCAAACTAAAAATTTTCGGCTGCTTTACCTTATTTTTTACACATTTTTATTTTTATTTTTTAATATTTTCACACGCACGTGTTTAAATTTTAATTTACTTGCCATGTTTCATAATTTATTTTGCTTTATCCCTATTTCCTTTTTACAGCTTCCTACCGGATTCCGAACGTGACCAAGAATTAGTCGCTGATTTCCTTAGCTTACACAATACTGACCGATTAGACATATTTACTTTTGCTGAATTGCTGCAACTCGATGCCAAGAGTACGCATCTACACCAGCTTTTTGCACTTTTAGATCATGTAAGATGTTTAGGAAATATAATCGTACTTTTTTCTCTTAAATATTACCTTTCTTTCCTTGCTTTTGTTTTGCAGCATCACAATTACACAGTCAGCTTGAAGAGTTTTCTGTTATGCTCACAATTTTGTAAATTAAAGAATGAAGAGATCATCGTATTTTTGCGTGCTATAACGAATGTAAGTTGCATTTTTTTCTTGACTTAGTTAAAATTATAAGTAGTGTGGCTTACACATATGTACATATCGTCGTTTAAAGTACAAAACCGCGTATCTTCGTTCTGCAAAACCGTGTAACTGACATTCGTGCTTAAAATGTGTTCCCGGAAGCTGCTGACATCAAGCTTTATCCATTCGTACTAAAGTATCGATTTAAGAAACTAGCCGGAAATGCACCGCTTTACAAAGGAGAGAACCATTTTGAAATAAGACAGTTTTTATTCTCTACTGTAAACTTTGGACAACCTTACATACGTTGTTTTACATTACCTTGATACTCATAATACTAGTGATAGATTGTGGGATGTTATGGTTTTAACAACCGCCCCAAACCGTCTCTTGTGTTAAGGTGATAGCTCTTGCACGGGTAGGTAACGTCGAATCGTCCCTCGAGTCTCATGGTTCAAATTGCGGGGCGTGATCTAATAGCTTTCCGTGTATTGCTGGTCATATTAAAAAAAAATACAACTTTTAGTGCACAAAATTGTTTCTATGGTATAGTTAAAAATGTTTGACTGGAACGAAAACAGAAGCTACTTTAGGAATATGCGACATGCGATTTGTCTTTTGATTTTTTTGAGTGCAACAATTATATTTCATTGTTATCACCGAAAGAGGTGTCCGGGAACTTGACATCGTCCCAAGCGTTGGCGTAGAAGCTGGGAATTAAAACTGAAACTTCTGATGTGGATATATAACTCTATGATAAGGCTAATCGTTACCTGCTGCACCATGGTATTGTGGTCAGCTTTAAATATACAGTACATTGTCAAAAGCGTAAGTAGTATACAAAAAGCGCAGGTTCAGGAATTACTGGGGCATTGAAATCGTGTCCCACAGAAGCACTGAATTTCGTCATCAATATGATACCCATTGATCTTTACCTAAAGGATATCGGCATGTATACAGCAGTAAGACTCAGGGAGTCGGAAGACCTTTCGACATAGCTCAATGTAAAGCCTTAGTCCGATAGCAAATAAAGTCACGCACTACATGTCATCAAGCCTGGATTTTGGCTTTTATGTACTTATGTGGTTTCCATCCAGAAGGCAATAAAAAATGGCCAAGCTGATAGGAAGTCTTCTGTATATCCACTGGCGGTTCCGAGATGGACTGCGGTGTAGGGACAGAAGTCTATTCCGGAGGGCTTGGTGTCAATCTGACCCTGCGGCTGGCAAACCATACTCGCAAATTTCAGACTGAAGTCCTGGGCATATGTGAGGCCTGTGAGGCTTTTTTGGATGAATCGATATCGGTGGTACCGGGATACACCCTCAGACAAATACAAACATAAATCCACTTGTACTTTCTTAAACTAGCATTGAAGAGGTGGTTAGAGATCTAGACTTGTAAGATAGTACGTGAGCTTTGGCCTGACTATAGGAGGAAAAGAACAGCACAACTGCTAAGTAGGTGAAGGTTAGAACTATTTAGGATTGTAGCGAGTATCACCGGGCACTGACTGCTAGGAAAACATGCTTATAGAATAGGACTTTCATACAACGAAATATGCTTGCAACTACCTGCTAGATGGTAGTGCGGGAACAGTATTTGATTTCATGTGCGAATGCCCGGGTTTGACTTGCTTAAGCCATACAACTTTCGGGAAATATATAATGAAGCAGTTAGCAGATTTATCTAGTGCTACTATAAGCGATATGTACAAATTCATAAGCTGTTCAAAATGGTTTGGCGAGTGCGCAAGAACGGAATCTCTTGATAGGATAATGGGAAGCGCATCAAATAATGCATTCCCTAAGTACTGAAATTGGCCAGTTGTTGTTTAAAAAGGCTAAGAGGTTACCCTAAACTATTATTCTGTGAATCGTCCTAATGTAGTCCTACCTGTTTCAAATAAAGCCAATAGCGAGAGGCTCTAAAAATTAACATTACTAACAACAGTTCCATATAATCACATCGACATTTTTATACAGTGCATAATATATATTTGTAATTCTACTCCTTCAGCTCTACGCTGAGTCGTCACAAAGTATTACCCGCCAAAGTTTTGCACGTATTCTGAGACACACGGGAAAAATGACGCCCGAAAAGTGTGATGCATTGTTTTTTGCAATCGATCATACGAACAAAGGCTGCATTGCGTTCGGTAAGTTTACACTTTAAATAGTAATCGTAAACATATTAAATGCATTTATTTTTTCCTTTTTTAATGTCAAATACAGAGGACTTTGAGCGCTACACCAAGGATCATCCACAGTACAAGTTCCTTTATAAGAAACAGGAGCATCTACGAAGAACGCAAGCAGCTGGCAATGTAAAGAAAACGAATTAAAATCAAGGACAAAACAAGATGATAAAGAAATAAAAGAATAACGCTTTTTTATGCGACCTTGAGGGTGTATGTGTGCGTGTGTATGACAGAGTTGACATGATTTTTGAGCGCGAAAAATGCATTTCATAAGGGTAATGGATTTTTGAATTACAAAATCCGATGTATTTACAAAAACCAAACATTAATTGTATTTATTTCATTTCGATTGTTTAAGAACTTCATAAAGCTATTGCTTAAGAAAGTAAAAAGTAAAACTGCTTCTAATATTGTAAAATAATGATTTTGCAAAAAAAATAAGGGGCAAAAAATGCAAATTTCATTTTTAAAACCAGTGTATATGTTTGCATTCATATAAACTGTTTGAACGTTTAAAATGACAATCTGATCGAAGAGAAGACAAATTTTCTTTCTAAGCAACATAGCTGCAAATCGTGCGCTGATATAGCTACATAAACATATGTAGGGAGATTATAAGGACGGGCCAACAACAAACCTTAACCACCTAAAAATGCAAAAGAATAATTTATACTATTCAGTCAAATATTGTACACACTCTCATATAAAGGCATTCAAGTTTCTTATAATTAAATTTAAAATTTTGTTTGCTATCTGCTTCATGTAACGTAGCTTTAAAAATTAATGCCATAAAGTAATAGAAGTAGAAATAATCTAACAATGATATTTAATTGTTTACTGAGTATATTTAATGTCAATTTTATTATACGTTAAATATATGCTTACAGTGTATTAGATTCTAGCAATGTAGGCGTGTGTATTTATATATGTATGTATGCATATATGTATGTATAATTATTTATTAGAGTTATTGTTAAGAAACCCTTAAGTATGCATTCAAGCACTTAACAATAAATAGATCCAACTCCACCAACCGTCACGTTTCATACAGGTAAAATCGCCCACAATTTCTGAACAGCAAGCGTACTTAAATCAGATTTAACGATTACAAAAAAAAAAATTACGTGACTTATTCAGCCTTATCATGAATGTTAATTTCGTGTGAACTTCACCTATTTATATTGAATATTCACCAAGCGAAGTACATAGTTCACTTCGAATGATTTTCACCCTATCGTATACCGTACTCAGCCGGTGAAATAACTGTCACTCGCACAGTTAAAACCGCAAAATAATTGCTAAATTTTCGCAAATATTTCCTACATTTGTCTGTACGTTCAAAACTGTTTGTTCACTGAAATTTTATTAAACGGCTTTGCAGGCTGTTATCCCAACTTCGAAGTTTCTATGTGAAATGCCTTTCACCCGAAATCGGTCCACATTCATGATAAAGTGAACCATTTCGGGTGACGAAATTTTTCACCAGAATATTCATGATGAGGCTGATTATTTTTTATTTTATCTTCATCGAATTACTGTTATTTAAATCATCTAAATACACTGAATGTGTTTCTTTTGTTATTAATTTTCATAGCTGGCTTGTCTAGCAGGCCTTTGAACCTCTAATAGATGTAAAATTTAATTTTATTAAGTACTGCAAGTATTGAGTTCCAAAATGAAATATGATTTAATTATATTTTAAACGTATCGCGTCACTATATTTAGTTTACTATAAGTACGTATATATATTATTTATTGCAGATTGATAACTGATATTGTAGTTATAGAAAGAATTGTAAGAGCGTGAAAACGAATAAAAAAGTAAAGAAAAAAAAAACAACCAAACTTGTAAATAAAGAAACGGTTTTAATGGGACCTTTTCCTTTTCTAAAAGAAAGATTGCTCCAATTCCAGGATGAAGTACATAATTAAGTTGGAGGAAGAGATATCGGCTTTTAGGCATAATCAGAAACTGAGGAGTATCACGGCCATTCTCTCAGCAGCCCAAGGAGATATCACCGTTGGTATTACCGAAGTTTTTTTTTTAGAAATATATCGATATTCTCCATTAATAAAGTTAAAATGAAAACTACTGTCGTGCAGTAGTTTGTAATTTATTTTCCGAAATGGGAAAGTATCTCGCATACGCCAAAGGTTTTAGTAAAACTGTAACGATTATACAATTCTACTTAAACGTATGGGAGCACTTGAAATTCAAGGTTAAGAAAAACCTGGTCAACAACAAAACCGAAGCGACACCAGCAGGTCCCAAAAAAGGAAGTGAGTTGGGATTCGCTGAAGATGCCGAAATCGAAGCGTTGCTGAGCCGCGATGAAACGACTAAATTTTAACTTAAAAAACATTGCAAATATTTTACAAAAATTACCATGCACTCACTTTTGATCGCCAGTGTATATAAAAAAAAAAAACATTTCGTTAAATTTTTCCTTTATTTTTTAAGTAATTTTCTGCAGTGGAAAATTTTCCAGTAACCAGATATAAAATTAATAAAAATATTTTTATTCCATTTTCAATAAAATAAATATTTAGAATTTTTGTTCCTTGTTTATACTTACGCAAGAACCGAATTAAAAAAGGCAGATTGGAGTCAACACATATTTCTTTCAAGCGTTTATACCTTTTATTTAGAATTTTTAGAAAAATTTTGTGTATGTAGTTTTGTAGCCCATTAAATTTTAGTAGGATAAAGTGCAAATTTCAAGACGCTACAACATTGCGTTGATTTTTAATAATTTTCTTGGCTGAAGGTGTTGTGCATTTTCTTCGACAATTTCGTTTAGGAGCAAATGCCTAGCTAATGAGCTACAAAACTGCATACCCAAAATTTTTCTAAAAATTTTGAATTAAAAGTTTAAATTTTCTAGTGCCGTCGTCGGACAAGAACGCATTACATACTTCTGTTATGCATATACATGCCAGTCATTGTACATAGTATGTAGTTTGGGGAACGACTGCCTCACCTCGGTCGAGTAGTTCTTAAAAACCAAGCCACTGCTACCAATATTGGTTGTACAATCATGGTGTATAGCTACGGTGACCATATTAACCAACGTAAAATAAAGGACATTTTTTTTTTCAAATTGATTTGGGAATACGTACATACAACTTATACGTTAAAGTACCTTACCCATATCGTAATTTAATTTAAATCAGATATTTACCAGTTAATTAACCGATTCTGAAAAATGAAGCCAAATCCATTTCAAGGATTTCGCCATCCTTTGCTACCAAAATGCGTTTACCATAATTCATACTGCACGCCGAAGCCAGCACACAGTGGTTCAAAATTGGAATTTAGTGTTCATAATTCACCGTAGTCTTCATTTTTCAACCAATTTTTACTAAAAACAAAACAAAAAACATTATTTTGGTGAAAATTTTTTGTGGAAAATGTTTTGGGGTACTATACAATTGTTTTCAACTAGTCGTTGTTATGTACCATTTATTAACTGGAACAGGAGAAGACATTTTCTTCAAAATTGCCACTTTTTCTGCATTTTGCACTAAAAAATTAAAACAATAAAATAAAAATTCACAAATCAGGCTCAACTGGTCTCTTGCAAATATTATAAGCTTTCATAAAAAAATTATCAAATCAAGTGAAAAAAATGAAGGCTCCAGTGAATTATGAACACTAAATGCCAGTTTTGAACCACTGTACAGTGGGGAGTTTATTGTTCTCTTTTAGTGGAACTTGAAACTCAGCGTGCAACACGATCCTGGGCACAACTTTCCCTGTGCTTTATAGATTGTGCAAAGATTACGTATTAAATAAAAATCCTTAAGTGGGGTTATTTTATTTTTCTTATTCTGTGTTTAAAAATTTACCTCTGAAAAATGTAGAGCTGATTTAAAGGACAGTTTAAGAAATAAAGGACAAAAGGCGTCCTTTATTTTGCTTTAGCTGTATTGGTGTTAAGCTCTAAATTGTTGCGAACTTTCCCTGCTTCTAATAAAAAGCCATTTGAAGTGATATTCACGAAATACTTCCAAGTGAAAGTAGTGGAAATTCGCACATTAGCATAGAGTGATCAAAATTGGGGGCTCGTTTCTCATGCTAACTATTATACATATGCATATACATATGTATTTACAAGTATTAAGTATTTATGCTACCCATGTGTCTAATCATTTAATAGAATGACCAGCGCAACCAGATGCTGATAAATGCAATTCATGTAACCGATTGGTACGCAATCATTCCTGAAATGTCTTTTATCTTACAAATAACTATCGAATCCGTGCATTGCACATTAGGGTGGTCAAAAAAAAAAGTTTAAAGTGTTAAGCTCTCACCCGCTAGGACTTTTCTAAATGGAAAAATGGAAAGTGATTTTTTCGCATATAAAATACATGGAAAACTTCATGGGCTTTGAGGCAGTACTAAATTTTTTTTAACCAAAAAAATACGGGTATTCTTTTTCCATTTTATGTATTTTTGGACCACCCTATTGCACACAAATTTTCCAACAATGGGGGCGTTACATGTTGACTGATAAAAAAAAAACGCCCTGAATTTATTTTATAACCTACGCGGACATCTTCCGGCCAGTGCAGCTCCAGCAGTGCGCGCAGAAACAAGAATCACCTTAAACTGCCGCGATTAAAGTGGAAAATATTAAAAGTGTTTAAATGCAGGATATTCCTGTGTATTGAGAGACTATGCCGCCCAACAGGATATCAACATTCTGCCGCACCTCACTGCTGCTACAAATAATATTTTTAATTATTTATTTGGAAGATCCAGCCGATGGATTCGTTAATTCGTATGTCTCAAGCGATTATACGCCCCCTTGAGCGCGATTTCTTTTAACAACTATTTATCCTTCGTTTTTAGCCCAAAAATTATAACCAAAGATGGCAATCTAATAGTGGAATCTGGACTTAATCGCAATATCACATTTCGCTTGGATGGCACTTCGCGCATTAATATCAATGACGAATATGATTTGTTGGATTTACTGTTGTTGAGTGGCAAATACAATCGCTCCTCACCAATACACCAGGATGTCTTTGAAGCGGACAATTTGGCGGAACTCTCCAATGTGTTGAATACACTGCGTACATATGTCTTCGGTGCGGACGGTTTGGACAAGCGTTTGTACACAATGTTGAATAGGTTAGTTTTCCTTGGATTAACTATTTCGAAACTTTTTGTGGGCGTTTTGGCTACAATTTTGATGACTTCGTTATTTTTTATCGCTTCAGAACTCGCTCCAACAATCAGTCGCTACGTCGTTTTCAAACCCGTTTGCAACGTGTCGAACGAAAAGTGCAGAATTTGTGGGATCGCCTCGAATTGGATAGTTGTAAGAGTAATCCTTGCGAGAATGGTGGTACCTGCATAAATATTTTCAGTGGATTCATTTGTAAATGCCCGAAAAATTTCGAGGTAAGTTTGATGTTGAACTTCTTTAGCGGCGGTAGTGAGTTAAAAAATTGTGACGGAAATGTGCGAAAATTTCCATGCAACGGAGAGGCATCCACTTTGCCTTTCTATTTCCGCCTTTTCCGTCTCCATTAATATTGAAAATGAACTGTCGCTAAGAGCTACGCAGTGGTTTAAGGTTAAGACTAGACAGAGACAAAAGGGTTAAGACGAAGACTTAGGCGTATACGAAGACGACTACTAAAACGAAGACGAATGCGAAGAGGAAGGCGATACAAACATGATGAAAGCGAAGACAAAAACGATTCCAAGGACTAAGGCAAAGATAAGTACGAAAAAGAGCACGAGTTCGACAATGAATACGAACTCAAATAGGACGACGAAGACGAATTAGCAGACAATAACCAAGGCTAATACGAAGAGGAAAGCGAATACCACGGCAAACACGAAACCGAAAGTCGAATACGAAGCCGAAGCTGAATTTAAATACCATGCCAAAGACGAAGGTGAAGACAAATACGTAGACGAGCACGAAGTCTAAGGCAAAGAAAAATATATACAAAGTAACAGACGAATTCGAATACGAAGACAAGAGTGAAGCTGAA